AAATTATGTTTACATTATAATATGAATCGATACAACTGACAACCATGAAATTGGCTAGCATTGACTTGTCTAGGCCTACTTTGCCAAGATGGCACTTATATTCAGAAATTTATCGCGATATGAGAATACGTTTAGGCAGATGTTTCCGATACGAATAAAAAATTTACGATGGAAAAGGAATCGAAGTGATTTCAAACAATTGAATGTTCGGCTTTTTGTACCATTCTTTAGAATAAAGTGAATAGTAAATTAGAAATTATTTATTATTAATATTTAACAAATTATGTAAACTGCATTTTAAATGTATTGCTAGATTATAATACATATATTTAACCCCAGAAACCAAGTTTTTGCTCTAAATTAAACACCGTTCAGTGGCGGCCCGTCAGGGGAGGCGGGTGAGGCAGTGCCTCATCATAGAGAATTAAAAAATTAAGTATAATTTAAATATTTTACTTTCTATAATATACTATAAATTTTTAATATTTGGATTACATGAATTGTGAAATAGTCAATAAAATTGATTGATTGTATACGTGGAATACCCAGCAAAATTATTTGAATTTGAAACTACCACAATTTAAACTAATATTTATAGCTAGATGATTGGCTCAGAAGAATGCCTGAACTAATTTAGACTCACGATTGGCGTTAGCCTTGTTGTCTCGTTCTATTACAATGCGATAGCATAGTTGTCTCCTTCTCTCGTATTAGCATACGCGAGGCAGGCACGCCTACATCCAAGGAAATAAGCAGGTGTTGTGGCAACACTGTTGCGGAACTTTAGTAAATTATACTTCACACGTTTTTCAAAATTCAATAATAAATTGTATTATTTTTCTTATAATAAATCGATTTAATGTAAATTATATTTCTATTCTAAAATAAACATATTTTAACACTATCGCCATCTTGTAGCCATCACAGTAACCAATAAAATAAATACAGATTCCTTCTTTAGGTTTGTTTTGGTTATAAAATTCTGAACTGTTTAAAGAACAAATCTGTGGTTATTTACGCAATATTTTGTTTATTCTTTTTCTATGAGTTTGTCTATTTTATGATTCTTTTGTAAGTGGTTTATTCTGTGGGTTTATAAACTATAGTTAATTGAACTTGGTGATTTATGTGAATTTATTCATTATGGATATTACGGTAAGAAAAAAATTTCTTCGCCTTTAAATGAGGGCGAAACCCAGACAACAAGACTGGTCAGTAAAATCATAAAATATTCATAAAAAAGGCTCTCAGTTTTTTGTTAATCATCCAAAACTACCTAATTCAGTAGCTATGTTAAACGGCTCAGTTAAAAAAGCACTGATTCGTCGAAGATAAAACGTACTAACTTGTAATAGGCATATTGAGGCCTGCGATGTAGATTTAGATAAACGAGCATAACGATGATCTATTAAAACTAATGCGTAAAGAAAAAACGTTGAGCTATTATCGTTCGTGGCACAAGCTACTGAGATTTAAATTAATGGACCAATCATCCCGAATTGAACGATATTTTGGCTTTATAACTCGACAGAAATTGAAATAACGGCGAGTTCACCGAATTGCTTAAGCAAGATAATTATCTGTGTTTTATGTCCAGTTGCTTTCTTGCAGTTTCTTGTTAGGTCTTGAGATGGTTTTAAAGTGGTTTGACGGTTCAGTACAGTTTAAACTAACTCCGTAATATTTATTTGGAAATAATTAAATTTTCCTTAAGACCCTATACGCAAAGATAATATTATTGTATTGAAATACAATATATTATCTTTGCGTATAGGGTCTTAAGGAAAATTTTATTTGACTTATTTTATTTCTTATTAGCTAGGTAGGTATTTAAGTGAAAATTTATGTTAAGTTTTAACGACAATTTATAATTTTATAGGTATAAATTTTACAGTTTATTATACATTTTATTAAGATTAAAAAATTATGGAAATATATTTATAAATAGCAAATTAATTAATGAATCAATGCTTATCATAAGTGTGTACCTATTAGCCTTAGCACATATTTAATATTTCTCTAAACAAATAATATTGTTTAAATACATAAATGTATTGTCTCGAATTCCACTTGCATTTGGAATTTCACTAAAATGATTTAATATAATGATTATGATAAGATAAAATGCGTACTTGGCTACTTAAATTGATCACACCCCAAATAGACAAATAAGCAAATTTAGAAACAATAAAAAATGCAATAATTCACTTTATCTATTTTGCGTTCATAATGACTTCATTATAACACCGCTTTTGGTGTAATTAGATACTTTATCTATTTTGGTTTCATAATGACTTCATTATAACACCGCTTTTGGTTCTTTAATGAGGTACTTTATTCCACCCAAAATTTTGATTTTATAGTTTGGCTACTGGTAAAATACAATTTTGAATACCTATAGGTTATAATATTTTTATGATTTGTTTTCTAGTACTTACGAGACTTTCGTGCAATAAATTTTGTTTAACACCAAAGAAAATCCTTTTTTCTTCTTTAACAGCCGCTTATTGTAAATACTTATTGTAAATTAACGACGCCATAGCGAAAGAATGTGATAATGTTTGAAAGGTTAATGACCTTTCAAACTTCAAACTGAGATACCAACTATGTAAAGTAAAATTCGACCAAATTAAATATAAGGTATAAAATTAATTTGTTTTATGAAATGTTTGCAAAATAGATAAAATAGCATAAAGAACTCATGTCATAAGACCTTTTGTCGCACTTGTCCATTATAAAACTCGCTCCTTCGTCGCTCGTTTTATAAATTGTCCGCGTGCGACAAAATGACGTCTTATGACATTAGTTCTTTAATATACTATTATCCCACCCAAAATTTTGATTTTATAGGTTGGCTATACTTTAACAGCATAATACTTTGCATATTGGTTATAATATTTTTATGATTTTTCTAGTACTTACGAGACTTTTCTAGCAATAAATTTTGTTTAACACCAAATAAAATCCTTTTTTCTTCTTTAACATTAACAGCCGCTTATTGTAAATAAGTAAATTAAGGACGGCATGGCGAAACGATTTTGACATTAACTGTCAAACCAATGACTGTGATACCAACTATCTATATCTAATATTTGTATGATTTTTCTAGTACTTACGAGACTTTTCTGGCAATAAATTTTGTTTAACACCAAAGAAAATCCTTTTTTTCTTCTTTAACATTAACAGCCGCTTATTGAAAATAAGTAAATTAAGGACAGCATGACGAAACTATTTTGACATTAACTTATTGGTTTGACAATGACTGTGATACCAACTATCTAAAGTAAAATTCGACCATATAAGGTACTTATAAAATTAATTTTTTTTATAGAATTATGACAAAATAGATAAAATTGCATAAAGTACTCATGTCATAAGACCTTTTGTCGCACTCGTTCATTACAAAACTCGCTCCTTTGTCGCTCGTTGCGACAAAATGACGTCTTATGACATTAGTTTTTTAATATACTATTCAGTTGATTTTGAATAAATAGCGAAAATGTCTTAAAATTTATGTTTTGTTTAACATAATATGTATGATGAGTTTATTTCGACGCGGACCCCCTGGCAGAAAGTGGTAATTTACAAAGGCAGGCAAACGTTTTTATTCCGGACCCCCTGGCTGCAGCCAGGGCCGGCCAGTACCATGCAGGGTCAATGCGAGTTATTATTAAACAAATATTGGATTTATAACGATTTGAAAAACGCTCCTTAATTATAATAATCAGTCCAATTGACTAAAATGAGTCGTTAATGTTGTCCACTAGAATCAGTGGTTATCGGCCAATCCGAACAATCAGGCCGATTAAATATGACTAATGTTAGTGGCTAACGTTAACAACTCATGTTAGTGAATTGGCCTGAATATGTAAATTGTTTAAAATTTTAACTATTTCATAACGTGTCATTTTAAATTAAGCCAATCAATTACATAATATTATTTACATAACACAAACGTAACTAGAATTACCAACATAAGTGTATTTAGTCTTTGATGCTCATAAGTTCGTTACTAGGAAGTTACACAAAATAGATCGAGCGGTAACGTCAGAACCTTCCCGGGGGTATACCCATTCATATATGAATCAACTGTTTGTTTGTATAAGAAAGTAGTGCTACTAAGGGACATGATTTATTTATTCATTTATTCGTTTATTATTATTTTCATATATTCATTCATTTATCCATTAATAAATTAATTAATTAATCAATTAATTAGTTCATTCATTCAATCATTCATTTATTAATTAATTAATGAATTTATTCATTCATTCATTCATTCACTCATTCATTCATTCATTCATTCATTCATTCATTCATTCATTCATTCATTCATTCATTCATTCATTCATTCATTCATTCATTCATTCATTTATTCATTCATTGATTTATTTATTTGTTTTTCCATTTGTATATTCATTCATTCATTCATTCACTCATTCATTCATTCATTCATTCACTCATTCATTCATTCATTCATTCATTCATTCATTCATTCATTCATTCATTCATTCATTCATTCATTCATTCATTCATTCATTCATTCATTCATTCATTCATTCATTCATTCATTCATTCATTCATTCATTCATTCATTCATTCATTCATTCATTCATTCATTCATTCATTCATTCATTCATTCATTCATTCATTCATTCATTCATTCATTCATTCATTCATTCATTCATTCATTCATTCATTCATTCATTCATTCATTCATTCATTCATTCATTTATTCATTTATTCATACATTCATTTATTCATTGATTTATTTATTTGTTTTTTTCATTTGTACGTAAAATTCAAAAATGCAATTTTATTTAGGGTTCCTTTTAATAAAACAAAGCCACTTCCGATATAACCAAAACTGACAGCGCATTAAAAAAAAATTGGAAAAATAGATTACATAGCTATAGCTCCAAAGTGTGGGGTCCACACAAAATTTCAAATTTATGTTTCGTTTAGTTCTCTATAATTCTCTAATGAATCAGTTAAGTAAATCACCATTTATAGGAAACAAAACAGTTTTTTTTAACTGATACCGCTAGACCACACCAACTTATCAATTTGCAGGATTTGTTATTCGTCTCAACAATAGGGCTTAAATTCGAATTTAAGCTTTTTACCATTAGATAAACTTGTCGTAAAACGTTCAAAAGTGTATAGTACTCCACTGGACCACAAGCGGGCGTAGCGGAATCCGCTAAGCGGATCCAGGGAGAAGGATTGCATAAGTTGCCGGTGGGGTCAATGGCTAGTGACCCCTGCCCGCCAGCAACTATGCAAATGGCTAATATCTCTTCCTCCGAACTGTTTGGGAAGAAGCCGCTTGCCTGTATCGCATTTAACGTTGCTGTTTAAACTTTGACAAATTGGTCAAGTCGACCTTTGAGAATTTTAAAGAGCAAGAAAGTGTAACGGCCAGTTAAGCTGAATAACACATTATTTATATATTTTACAAAAAAAAATTGTATTCAAAATTTGATTTTTTAATATTTGGCAAAACGGGGTAGGTCGTTATTTTTAACAATTTTTTTTTACAGTTTCTTTACCAAAATCGATGAACTTATATTTTTTCTTTTTGCTTAAATTTGTTTTGTTCACCCGATTTTTCTCTTTTTACGAGTGAAATTTTTTATTAAAAATGGCCAAAAATATATATTTATTTAAATTGTTGGGGAATATTTACCACATAAAACAAAAATATAAAAAATTAATGGAATTCGCTAAATTTTGTTTTAATTGTTTTTTCTACAAAAGGCAGACAAAAATTGACATTACCATATTTTTTTTACTTCATATTTTTTTATTTTAAGTTGATAATATGAACAGTTTTCACCAAAAGTCCCGTGTTAGCTAAATTCATCGTTTCGAAATTATTGTTTTTTTAATGAAAATGCCATTTTCTGGTAAGTTCGTGGTTCATCCCAAAAATTTGGTATTTTATCTAGGGGCATGCAACTGGGGTGACCTTTATAAAGTTTAATTTAGAACTTTTTGACATATTAAAGATATTTTTTTCACTTAGTAAAATGTAAATTCTTAATATTTTTGAATGTGTTATTTTTAAAAGATGTAAAAAGTATACGTAAGTTAATTTTGGTTGAAATAATAAAAATAATGTATTATATACGTAAAAGTAATTAACCGAATACACAAGAAACCCATAAAAACGCGATTTCGAAGAAATGTAGGACCCAAACACTTCCGAAAAATGTTGGTCGGTTAACAGATATGAATAAGGCAGTCGCGAAACTCTTTTTGACTGTGGCTCTATCAGGAAGAAAAATAAGTATTAAGCCTAAGAGGTCCAGAAACTAATGCCCAGGTTAATTATGTATAGAAATAACAAATTTTTATTTGATTTTATATTTCGTTTTTTTTATTTATTGCCAGAGATTCCCTACAATGGCAACACTATGTGGAGGTTAGATTTTTATAATCGTTTCAAAATATTTCAATGATTTTATTTAGTAGTTTTAAAACCAAAAAATGTTGAGCAATTACTTACACCCCTTTGATTCTACCCATCTCAATTATTATTTTAATTTTATTTTATAAAAAGTTTTAACGTTAACATTCACTTAAGTTTGTTTGCTGGTAATTACCAGCAAAACAAACTAACGAACTGTCAATTCTAATACTTCTTTTAAACAAAAAGGTTTTAAAGCCTTGTTAATTTATTTTCCTCTGTACATATATAAAGTATACTTTAAAACCTAAAAAACAATCAAATTTAATTAAGAGTTTGAAAGCGATATTATTAAAATATGCATTACTCGGTTTAAAATTTAAAAAAAAGTGGATTTTTTTTTATGATCAACAAACCACACTCTTTTATTAAAAAAAGAGTTTTGGCATAAAGTATGTTTTTTTAATTTTTTAAAGCTCCTAAAAACCAAAATTCTTGGTCCAACATGAAGTAATTCAAGGCACTCTAGATATAGAAATCAAATGTAATCAAAAAATGATTTGACTTGTCAAAAATTGACAAATTACCGGTGAAACTAGATGTGACAAAAATATGTTAAATATGTCAAAAAGTTCTAAATTACAGTTTATAAATGTGACCCTAGATAAAATACCACATTTAACACAAATTTAAATAATGTCATTTTCATTAAATAAATAATAATTCCGAAACGACGAATTTAGCCAACTTGGGACTACTGGTGAAAGTTGTTCATATTATCAACTTCAAACAAAAAAATATAAAGTAAAAAAATGTGGCAATTTCCAAATGTTGATCTTAATATTTTTTGTCTTTTGTAGAAAAAAAATAAATTCACTTAATTTACCTACAATTTAGAAAAAAAGTAATGATCGAAACAGTTTTGGTTATCATATTTTCAAAAAAAAATGTCACTCGTGAAAAGAGAAAAATCGATGTTTCTGTCAATTTTTAAAAAATGTCCTACGGGTGAACAAAACAAATTTAAGCAAAAATAAAAATACGGGTCTCATCGATTTCGGTAAAGAAACTGTAAAAAAAAATGTTGTTAAAAAATAACCACCTACACCTTTTTGTCTGGTCGATTTGAAATAGAAAGGCTCCTTCGTAATGAATATTTTCTGTTTATAAAAATTGTAATGCTGAATTTTTCATATTTTTGTCGACTGAACTCTAATAAGTTTATTGTTTTTATACATATAAATAAATATAAAACAGCATGCCTCACGCCATCTATCGCCAAATAGTTACACTTAACAATGAACAAGTAGAAATTTATTTAGGTAATAACACAAATCTCATACAACAAATTACTTTTAAATTTACTAAATTTCTGGAAAGGCACTTCCAATCATATTTTTTCCTCTATACTTTAAGTTGTAGGTTCTTATAATAAACCTATTATTGTTTAACTTTAAGGGACAAATTCTATTAGCTCTTAAAACAAAGCAGGTTGAATATAAAGCCATTTCGAACTCTGGACTTGTGCCTATAAACATCGAATCCACAGGTTTATCCACGTTATGAAAGGTGAAGTGGTGTTTAATTATAGAACCTTTCTAAAATTTAAAAATTAAAAAAAAATAAAGTCAACAGTCTCTACTTACATCTCCAAGGTCGAGTATTTTCATATACCCAAGGTAGTTAGCTCTATTCATTGACTCTTCCTCGTTAAAATACAGCCAATTGTGAAGCCCAGACACTTTACTTTTTTTTAACTCGCCCAAAAAAATGTGTTCAAAACCGCTCGAACCAATTTTACCATCTCCTCTGGAATACATGTTGAACCAAATTTGTTTTAGAAGTGTTTTAAACTCTTTGGGATCCTTACCAAGTATACCTAAATATAAAAATAATTATTATGTGTGGTATGTGTGGTAATAATGTTATTAATAACCTTTTTTAATTAAAAAGTTTCTTGTATATTGCATTACAGGTGTTTGTAAGATGACGTCCAACAAATCAGTTTCTTCGTTTTTCTCTTGAGCAGTATAAACCTCATTTACATTGGCTTTAAGTATATAATTATTGTATAGTGGTATTAATTTTGCTATGGAGGGTATATTATATGCTTTACTATTAATTGTGAGAAGCCTGGAACATAAAAAACATAATAATGATTAACATTGCTGAAATAAGACCTCAGAATTGCTCCTCCACGTCAGGTTTTTAAGAAATTCTAACCCAAAAGTAGAATCTTTATACTAATTTACTAAAGCCGTTAGTTGGAATTTATGAAACGATATATCAAACATAAATTTCAACTAAAGATTTCTCGAAGAGGCGAAAGTATATTGAAAAAATTCAAAAAGGATTTTGAATGGAAAGAGTGGGACTTTCAGACGGCGCAACAAGTTTTGTGAAATAAATACCTTGGGATATAATAATTAAACTTCGGGTTAAAATTAATTAAAATCTCAAATTCGAATTTAGAATGTCAAAAACCTTGAAAAAAATAAAGACCTGTATTATCTAACTCATCCAAAAATTATAATACATACGGTAAAGGAGCTTCATCCACAGTTGACCTAGAGGTAGTCTTCATCTGTAAGTTGATTTGCACGTATTTGGCAGCATTGTTGACATCTTTTTTGAGCAATGTTTCTGAGAACTCCCTCAGCTCATCATCCTCACTCATGCCGGATGGTTCGATATAATCATTATTTCCAATATTGGTGGTGGGTACAACGACTTTTGGCTTTTGTGTTGATGATGATAGAGTATTACCAAAAGGGTTACCTTTATGCCAAGCACTGGTATAGTTGGGGTTTACCACAAAGGTTTCCTGACGTAAAATAGGTTTTGGTGTCACTACAAATGTATCTTTTCTTGCTAAAGATTTGGTTGTGCTCATTTGAAACATACTTTGAGTATTTTTATGAGTATCTATGATAATGTCTTGCTTTTTCATGTTACCATTATTTTGTTCTCTAATAACAAAAGTATCTTGCCTATTTAGTGTATTTTTTGGGTTGGTATTTCTAATTTGATCATAATTTTGTTCATTTCTAATAAATGGATCCTGAAAACTTACAGGTTTAAAGTTTTGGTTTTGAGCAGCAATATTTTGTGTATTTCTATTGTTATTTTGCGTATTTTGAGTATTTTGATTGTTTTGACTATTTTGGACAGGTTTTTTTTTCCATTGACCTAGTTCAGGCCATGGTGTAGTCGATTTTGAAGTTATTCCAATTTGTGCCAAGGAAATATTCCCTGATATTTTTCCCCAAGCGTTTTGTCTTTGATTGGAATCTATGCCTAAAATTTTGGATAGTTTAGATAAAAATGTCAAAAGGTTAAGATAAGTAAAGAAATGGTTTAAATTTACATAATCCTTATCAAAATTACAAAGCGACACTTTTTTGCACGTATGAGAGATCTCTATATCGCCTCGATATAAAAGTCGACTTTTATATCGAGGCGAGTTATAAAACCTCATAGTGCAAAAAGGTGCTTTTATTTTCGAATTACATACATTATTTTTTCTAATACCATGATTTCCATACCATAAACTTCATAAATAATGTAAAAAAAATGTCAAAACTTTGTCAAAACTTTTTAAAAATTTATTTACGATCTTAAGGAATAAATTGTAATGGTAGTGGTAATATAATTAACAATAAAAACAAAATTTATTGTTTTTTTGAATAAATATTATTTAATTTAGGTGGTAATATGTGCTGATTTTAACAATAACAATAAAACATTATCATACCAAATAAGAAAATACGAAAAACTTATAATTAAAAATGATTAGTACAACCTCAATTTAGCTTGTAATAGTATATTATGTATGAAGTTTTATAAATGCCATTTTAGTTACGAGTTTAATTAAGCACGAGCGAAGCTTGCGAGCGAGTGTTTAATAAAAACGAGTGTCTAGAGAAGTTTATAAACGAGTTGCATACTATACTTTATCTACGACGAACACAAAACAGAATTTAAAGCCAATTTTATTTGTTAAAATTGTGACATCTGTCAACTGTCACCCGAATTTAACCTCACTTTTTACCAATTTATAATAAAGCTAACTTCAGCCCGTGTCGAAAAGCCACTGTTGTTAACTTCAGCCCGTCAATAAAACGCCATAAAGTTACAGCTCGTCAATGTAGGAGTAGATAAAATTAATAAAATTAAATTAACAAATCCTAAATAGGTTATCTTAAGTTATAGAACAAATTAAAACAAAAGAAATATAACTTCAACTTACTTAAAACATAACTAAACAACACCATAAAAAGTATAAACAAATAGGTCCGAATCATCATAAATAAAAACATAAACTGAACAACTAAATTTTGCAGTTTTAATAACCGTCTTTAAACTACTCAAAGCGCATGTCCTACATGATTGTGAAAGTAAAGTGCTAAGAAACAAATTAAAGTTTATTGCGACGTTGCCAAATATATAGTAAACAAACTTACAAACTAAAAATAATAATAAGTACAAAAATCACATTTTCATTTCTGAAAATTAGTGCGTTATTAATATAGGAAAAAATATGCACGCCCATAAAATTAAGCAAGCCATGAGTCCTAGAAGCATGTAGCTGCGTTGTTTATCCCAGCCTACCAGGATTTGTTTAGGTGTTTTGCCTTTGGGCCCTGAAGGCATCCCTGAGGGTACCTGAAAAATGCATTAATACAATTGTATTAATTTGGATTAAAAAATATTTTGTTTATGTGATTTAAGTGGTAAATTGTTTGTTTTACCTTTAAAAATATTTTATATTGCATAATTTATAAAGAATTAATAAATTATGTTTTTAAGTATTAATAATAAAAAGAAGTATTATTTTTTCAATTTTATAACAATGTTTTTAGCATTAGAAATTTGGCTACGTCATATTTTATTACCCAAGGACTTATTGCCAAGGAGATTATAATCGAACATTTTGGTTACAGTACAAACCATTTTTGGTTTATTGTTTACAGCAAAACAGTTCGCATTTTTAAACTAGTTTTCTAATATTTTTTTAATATAACCTAAATTCTTAAACTGACATTTGGATTTATTCATAACCAACAAACATGATTGATTTTTTAATCTCCCACTTTTGAACTGCACGTGCGCAAAAGGTAGAGAGTAGCCACCCTCCCCTTAAAAACGGGAACAAGGTCATCTATTCAAAATATAGGGAATAAGCGGTATATGTGTGGTAAGTATATGATATGCACACGTTTCCACGCCACCTATAGATGCGCTAAGTAAACTACCTCATAGATGAGGTAGGTTTTTTTAACGTGGTTTTCCCAGTAGGCCTATTTCACGGGTCAGTTGTGATCCTGTTTAATTTGAAACTATTGCAAAATAACGGAAATTAGTAATGATTGGAAAAGATAATAGCGATGTAAATTAAAAGAAAATACTGGAGTTTATTCGTCTGATTCTAACATTTAAATTCTTCTTGATCTTCTTCTTGTTCTTCTTCTTCTTGTTCTTCTTCTTCTTGTTCTTCTTCTTGTTCTTCATCTTCATCCTGGGTACAAGTAAATTGCGTCAATAGCGATGTATCGCATGTCACCTCGTTGGAATTAAATGAATCCTCCACTGTTGGTGATTCAACATTAGAGCACGACCGGCCTTGACAATTCGTACATGCCAGAGAATAAAACAGTCCGACTTTTTTGCAACCAAATTTAGCACGTGGTTTCCCCAGTAGGCCTATTTCACGGGTCAGTTGTGATCCTGTTTAATTTGAAACTATTGCAAAATAACGGAAATTAGCAATGATTGGAAAAGATAATAGCGATGTAAATTAACTTGGTAATATACCCGAAAAAGATGTTGATGAGCAGCGAAAAAGATGTTGATGAGCAGCAACTGAGGTTGGAGGAAGACAAGCTAATTGAACTTGTTTTTTACTTTTAGAATTTTTAACGAAACATACTTAACAAAGCAGGTAGTTTTTTTAGGAGCTCCGTATATAGAAAGAAGAAATCGAATGCCGTTGGTGATAACTTCTTGTCCCGAAGCACCTTTTCCTCGAGTTTGGCCGAAAAATCTCCGCTCGTTCGAAAGTTAAGCGAAGACAACGGAACGTGCCAAATTTGACGGAAAAATCGAAAAAAAGACTTGGGCCTTTTCGAAAATTTGGTCCGCGGATAGGTCTCTTGGGCAGAAAAAACGGATGCAAATTTCAACCTTTAACGGCCTCCGAGCTACGGCGCTTAGAAAAAAAAGGATATACAGACAACGGAAAAAATCAATATTGCAAACGGGCCGGATCCGCCGGAAACTTTTCGAACAGCGTTCTTTTTTTATTTTTTTACAAAAAATTTTTAAACGTTTTTAGGGCGACAGAAATTTTCGAAATTGGCCGAACAAAATAGACCAAAGTTTCACATACTAAAAGATGAGCTTCATCGAATGAAAACTAATCGGCCAGAAGCCCGTTTAATTTTTGTTTGGTATTTAAAAAGTTAACCAATTAAAATCTGTGTAGGTATGTGTAGGTATACTTTATATTTTAAGTGTAAGTTAAAATGACCGATAGAAAAATATTTTAACATATATTACAACTCTAGAGATGTATATACGTGACGTACTTATGCATATTATGACGATTATAACTTTTACAACTTTTCGAATCGTTATATCTCAGAAACGGTGGTTCGTAGGAAAAAAAGTATTGATACATTTTTTATAGATAATTTTATGATCTACAATTTTTGTTTTGGGTATTTAAACTTACCGTTTTGCTAAAAATCGCGAAAAACTAATTTTTTTGAGCTTTGACCTTGAATAAATTTTTTTCCATACAGGGGAATGATGGGGAACTTTAAAATTTTATTTATAATTATATTCTGAACAATTTTACTGAATTTCAGCTTATTGTAAATTTATGTACCTTCACTGTTATTTTTTGGTCTAATTGGACCGGACTAATATGTATGTAATCAGAATTTTATTTAAAATCGAAATACCTATAAGTATACTAGGTATACATATATACTAGGTTTACATAAATGTAAAAATGCATAGGGTGTTTCATTAAAAAATAAAAAGTTAAGACCATTTCCGGTGAAACTGGATGTGACAAAAATATGTTAAATATGTCAAAAAGTTCTAAATTACAGTTTATAAAGGTCACCCCAGTTGCATGACCCTAGATAAAATACCACATTTTTACGATTAAACACGAATTTAAATAATGTCATTTTCATTAAAAAAAATAATAATTCCGAAACGACGAATTTAGCCAACTCGGGACTTTTGGTCAAAGTTGTTCATATTATCAACTTCAAACAAAAAATATAAAGTAAAAAAATGTGGCAATGTCCAAATTTTGATCTTAATATTTTTTTTTTGTAGAAAAAACAATTTAAAAAAAATTGAGTAAATTCACTTAATTTACCTATAATTTAGAAAAAAAGTAATGATAGAAACAGTTTTGGCCAAGTTATCGCATTTTCAAAAAAAATGTCACTCGTGAAAAGAGAAAAATCGATGTTTCTGTCCATTTTTAAAAAATTTCCTACGGGTGAACAAAACAAATTTAAGCAAAAAGAAAAATACGGGTCTCATCGATTTCGGTAAAGAAACTGTAAAAAAAAAAATTTGTTAAAAAATAACCACCTACACCTTTTTGTCTGGTCGATTTGAAATAGAAAGGCTCCTTCGTAATGAATATTTTCTGTTTATAAAAATTCTAATGCTGAATTTTTCATATTTTTGTTGACTGAACTCTAATAAGTTTATTGTTTTTATACATATAGATAAATATAAAACAGCATGCCTCACGCCATCTATCGCCAAATAGTTACACTTAACAATGAACAAGTAGAAATTTATTTAGGTAATAACACAAATCTCATACAACAAATTACTTTTAAATTTACTAAATTTCTGGAAAGGCACTTCCAATCATATTTTTTCCTCTATACCTAAAGTTGTAGGTTCTTATAATAAACCTATTATTGTTTAACTTTAAGGGACAAATTCTATCAGCTCTTAAAACAAAGCAGGTTGAATATAAAGCCATTTCGAACTCTGGACTTGTGCCTATAAACATCGAATCCACAGGTTTATCCACGTTATGAAAGGTGAAGTGGTGTTTAATTATAGAACCTTTCTAAAATTTAAAAATTAAAAAAAATAAAGTCAACAGTCTCTACTTACATCTCCAAGATCGAGTTTTTTCATATACCCAAGGTAGTTAGCTCTATTCATTGACTCTTCTTCGTTAAAATACAGCCAATTGTGAAGCCCAGACAGGGAATTATTTTTTAATTCGCCCAAAAAAATGTGTTCAAAACCGCTTGAACCAATTTTACCACCTCCTCTGGAATACATGTTGAACCAAATTTGTTTTAGAAGTGTTTTAAACTCTTTGGGATCCTTACCAAGTGTACCTAAAAATAAAAATAATTATTTTGTGTGGTAATAATGTTATTGATAACCTTTTTTAATTAAAAAGTTTCTTGTATATTGCATTACAGGTGTTTGTAAGATTACGTCCAACAAATCATTTTCTTCGTTTTTCTCTTGAGCAGTATAAACCTCATTTACATTGGTTTCAAGTATATAATTATTGTATAGTGGCATTAATTTTGCTATGGAGGGTATATTATATGCTTTACTATTAATTGTGAGAAGCCTTAAACATAAAAAACATAATAATGATTAACATTGTTGAAATAAGACCTCAGAATTGCTCCTCCAAATCAGGTTTTTAAGAAATTCTAACCCAAAAGTAGAATCTTTATACTAATTTACTAAAGCTGTTAGTTGGAATTTATGAAACGATATAATAAACATAAATTTCAACTAAAGATTTCTCGAAGAGACGAAAGTTTATTGAAAAAATTCAAAAAGGACTTTGAATGGAAAGAGTTGGACTTTGAGCCGGCGCAACAAGTTGTGAAATAAATACCTTGGGATATAATAATTAAACTTCGGGTTAAAATTTCTTAAAATATCAAATTCGAATTTAGAATGTCAAAAACCTTGAAAAAAATAAAGACCTGCATTATCTAACTCATCCAAAAATTATAATACATACGGTAAAGGAGCTTCATCCACAGTTGACCTAGAGGTAGTCTTCATCTGTAAGTTGATTTGCACGTATTTGGCAGCATTGTTGACATCTTTTTTGAGCAATGTTTCTGAGAACTCCCTCAGCTCATCATCCTCACTCATGCTGGATGGTTCGATATACTCATTATTTCCAAAATTGGTGGTGGGTACAACGACTTTTGGCTTTTGTGTTGATGATGATAGAGTATTAACAAAAGGGTTACATTTATGCCACGCACTGGTATAGTTGGGGTTTACCACAAAGGTTTCTTGACGTAAAATAGGTTTTGGTGTCACTACAAATGTATCTTTTCTTGCTAAAGATTTTGTTGTGCTCATTTGAAACATACTTTGAGTATTTTTATGAGTATCTATGATAATGTCTTGCTTTTTCATGTTACCATTATTTTGTTCTCTAATAACAAAAGTATCTTGCCTATTTAGTGTATTTTTTGGGTTGGTATTTCTAGTTTGATCATAATTTTGTTCATTTCTAATAAATGGATCCTGGAAACTTACAGGTTTAAAGTTTTGGTTTTGAGCAGCGATATTTTGTGTATTTCTATTGTTATTTTGCGTATTTTGAGTATTTTGATTGTTTTGACTATTTTGGACAGGTTTTTTTTTCCATTGACCTAGTTCAGGCCATGGTGTAGTCGATTTTGAAGTTATTCCAATTTGCGCCAAAGAAATATTCCCTGATATTTTTCCCCAAGCGTTTTGTCCTTGATTGGAATCTATGCCTAAAATTTTGGATAGTTTGGATAAAAATCTCAAAAGGTTAAGATAAGTAAAGAAATGGTTTAAATTTACATATTCCTAATCAAAATTACAATACCAATGTATGCAACAAGAATATAGAGCGACACTTTTTTGCACGTATGAGAGACTTTTATATCGAGGCGAGTTATAAAACCTCATAGTGCAAAAAGGTGCTTTTATTTTCGAATTACATACCATAATTTCCATACCATAAATTTTATAAATAATTACTAAAAATGTAAAAAAAATGTCAAAACTTTGTCAAAACTTTTTTAAATTTATTTACGCTCTTAAGGAATAAATTGTAATGCATGGTAGTGGTAATATTATTAACAATAAAAAATAAATTTATTGTTTTTTTAAATAAATATTATTTGATTTTAACAATAACAATAAAACATTATCATACCAAATAAGAAAACACGAAAAACTTATGATTAAAAATGATTAGTACAACCTCAATTTAGCTTGTAAAATTAATAAAATTAAATTAACAAATCCTAAATAGGTTATCTTAAGTTATAGAACAAATTAAAACAAAAGAAATATAACTTCAACTTACTTAAAACATAACTAAACAACACTATAAAAAGTATAAACAAATAGGTCCGAATCATCATAAATAAAAACTTAAACTAAACAACTAAATTTTGCAATTTTAATAACCTTCTTTAAACTACTCAAAGCGCATGTCCTACATGATTGTGAAAGTAAAGTGCTAAGAAACAAATTAAAGTTTATTGCGACGTTGCCAAATATACAGTAAACAAACTTACAAACTAAAAATAATAATAAGTACAAAAATCACATTTTCATTTCTAAAACTTAGTGCGTTATTAATATAGGAAAAAATATGCACGCCCATAAAATCAAGCAAGCCATGAGTCCTAGAAGCGTGTAGCTGCGTTGTTTATCCCATCCTACCATGATTTGTTTAGGTAAAACACCTTTGGGCCCTGAAGGCATCCCTGAGGGTACCTGAAAAATGCATTTGTATTAATTTGGATTAAAAAATATTTTGTTTATGTGATTTAAGTGGTAAATTGTTTGTTTTACCTTGAAAATATTTGCATATACCACAGACCTGTGGCATATACAAATAATTTAATTTATGTATGTACTTTTTACCTCATTTTTATGGGCCAAAATTTCTGTACTTCTGTTCATGGTACTTTTAACATTTATCCAACAATTTTAGTAAAACAAAATTATAACACTGCACTTAAAAACTAATACAATAAACAATGTAGATAACAATTTTTTATGTTTCTCCGATTTACGCTCCCGATTTAAACTGTATTAACGCGCGAGTCAACTGCAAGTGAAATTTCTATATAAAATGCCAATAGGTTGATTTCCTTGAAATTACTTCACTCATGCTTATGTAACCAGGTGTATAATTATTTATATACATAATTTATTTTGATGATGTTTATATTTTGTTTTTAATAGTTCAGCCGAACTGTTGATAGATGTCAACAACTCCCATATTTCGCGTATATTTCATGGCATTCCAGGAGTCCTGACTTTCTTTGGGGATGGTGGTCTAGTGGTTAGTGCTGCTGACTACAAGCCGGAGGTCGTGGGTTCGAATCCCACCAGGGGTTTGGCTGTTTATTTGTGTTTGTCCAATTGTGTATTAGTCCTTCGGAGGGGACTTTAAGCCCGCGGTCCGTTCCTACCCCTAACCCGCACAAGCCATTCAGTTGGCTTATGGGACTTCTTAAGAAGTAAAGGTGGAACTAAAAGAGTACTTTTGTATATAAACTTTTGTATATACTTAAAAAGCTGCAGCCCATGCAACCCATGGGTTTACAAAGAGAAACCTACGCAAAATTTGCAAGGTCACATCTGGATAAGGTTCTTTGTTTAAAAATATTTCCTGAATGTTTTCCCCAAATATTTAAGTTTATATATTTTAAACTTCAATAAAACCACATAACTTTTTAAAATACTTATATTATGATGTCGTCTTGACAAGAAACCTATGTACATGTCTTTTCTAAATGATTTTGGAAGCACTGATTTCGTTGATTTCACTTAAATTAATTTAAAACATAATATAAACTTAAAAATACAATATAAATACAATTAAAATATTACTTAAAACTTCTAAATATCACAACAAAAACAAAATCAAATATAATCGTAGTGTGCCAGTAAACTGTATACAATCGCCCAAAGAACTAAAAGTCCGATTGTGCCGACGAAAAAAAAAGTTTTTTTCGTGTGCCACGGGCTGTCGGCCAAGTCTGGCGGTTGGAATCTTTGTCGGGCTTGTCGGCAGACTTCGGGCGTACACACTATTGGTTTTGATGTTGATGGACCGTCTTCTATTGTATCCTGTGGGTCCTTTTGGGTCCCATTTGATTCCACTTTTTTCAATTCCGTGCCCTTTTCAGATGTGTAGGCCTTATTTTCCATCTGAAATAGTAAAAGATATTTGGGTTATTATAGATGAAATCATAAAAAACAAATTCTGCTCTATTTTAAATTTTGTTTAAACTTGGTGGTAATGTTCTTTAGGATCCCGGAAACCCACGGTGATTTAGTTTTTGCATGTGACAGTTTGCACAAAATAAAGCATTTAAAAAGTTTTATTTTTATACTTTTTTTCAATTGAGATGCATATTTTATATGGCATTTTAAATGAATCATGAATCATACCCGTATGGGGCGCCGTTTTATTTTTTATTCAGGAATTATTCTGATGTGTTAACACTAGTGGTATTTTCAATTAGATAAAAAATATCATATAAGAATTTTTATTCTGCGAATTAAAAATATCATAGTGGATAATAAAAAAATTCATTTAAATATCTGTTTCTTTGTATTGTTTAGTAAAACACAAAAATATAATGGGAAATTTTTTTAATTTTAATTTTTTAAATTAAACAGATATTTTTAATTGAATATGATATTTTTAATTCAGAATAAAAGTTTGGACACCCCTGGTATTCCAAACTAATTATGTCGCTAGATGGCGGCAGAATCACTGGGATCTACGACGTACGTCCGATATCGCACTGACCTAGCGTGTGCTGAACAAGGACAGTGCACGTTAGTTTGTTGTTGGTGGTTCGGTTTTTGTGGCGTTTGGAATAACAGGGGTCTCTCAATCAGTCGGAATTAAAAATATCTGCATATTTTTAATAAAAATTAAATTCAATTAAAAAAGTTTCCTTTTATATTTTAAATTTAGCGAATTAAAAATATGTGATTAAATAAAAAAATAAATACAATAAGCAGATATTTTAAATTCAATAAATTAAAAATATCTGTTTGGTATAAAAATTAAATCTAATTTTTAATTAAGCGAATTAAAAATATGTGGTTAACAAAAAAAACAATTAAAAGAAGTAAATATTTTAAATTAAAAATATCAGTTTGGCATAAAAATTAGAACTAATTTTTGAAATATATCGCACATGGGCGACAACAGTGTCATAAGTAGTAAAACCTTAATTTCGAGATAATGAGCGTCAAATATTTTTGAATAATAAAATTCTGATATATTTGTAAAATTACATTAACTTGCAGTATTTTCTTTGCAAAGGAAGAACCACACTAAGATTCTGAGCTTGTTAAAAATTAGATTTTAGAAAATAATCTTTTTTTGGATAAGAGCTATTTGTAGATATGTCTGTGTTGCCGAAGAAGGTGTGCTTTAATTTTGGAGATATGTCTGTGTTGCTAAAAATATGTTGATTATGAATATGAGGAACATATCGTCCCCATTATCACATAAGGGCGTATCTCATATTTAACAACTTTACAGAAGATTTTAAAGGTTTAATGTTTTTAGCTAACTTAAATTATTATTTAGAAAAAAATGTATTACTAGTAGCAATTTTTTTCCAGAAAAATAATTTAAATTAGCTAAAAACTTTCATTCTTTAAAATTCTCTGTAAAATTGTTAAATATGAGATACGCCCTTATGTGAGTCGAATTCCGAGTTTGCTGAATATCGATAACGTTGCAACCCACTGTGCGGTTGTTTATTATTTGGCATGAGGATGAGTTTCTTTTGCCTAGTGTTTATCTAAACTTGAGTGTTTAATGACTGCTTATGTGAGCCCTTATTTATGAGTTCTTAGGCTATGCTTGCTGTTTTTAAGGAAAACTGTTGGCGACTAATTAAATTTTCCCTGGTGGTTCTTTATAAGTTGAGGTTGCGAATTTCGTATTAAAATTTAGTATTTGGGTATTATTAAGGACAAGGCATCAGCATTTCTGTAAATGGACTCCCGATGTTCTGTATCAAAGTCTCTCAAACTATGTTGCTACCTGTCCTTCAAGAATTGTCTTCCATACAGGTACTTGTAAAAGTGTTCGAATGACTTTTCCACTGCCAACAGCTCGTGTCGAGTACAGGAGTAATTTTCTTGTGGTTTGGATAATGTTTTACTAAAGTATACAATAACTTTCTCTTTTCCTTCTTGAATCTGCGACAAAACGGCTTCCAAGCCCACGTTGCTGGCGTCCGTGTCCAAAATAAATCGACCATCCTGAAGGTGGTGAGCTGGTCAACGCGTTTTTGAGGTCCTCCAAGGCTTTTTGGCACCCGTCTTTCCATTGGAATTGTCTCTCTCTCTCTGTCAAACGTGTCAAAGGCTTAGCAACCTTTGCGAATCCCGGTACGTACCGACGATAGTAGGTGCAGTATCAGTGGCGTAGCGACAAATTTCGCCCCCCCCCCCGCGAAAATCCTTACTGGGTCCCCTGATTTCAGGTATTTTTTACATGGTTTTATATTGGGTCAGAATTTCTCAAACGGGCCACCTGAATTAGGTCAAAATTAGTTTTTGTTTGTAGATACATTTTTTCGATAGTATTTTACATCACTAACACAAATCCTAAAGGATTTTGTAAAAAAAATAAATTCAATTGACATATTCATGATATTAAAAGTCAAAGTTTTTAATAATTAAAAAATAAAAAAATTCATTATGGCTGAACTAATTATCCGATTCCAACGATATAACTAGCGTTGGAATCTTGTTATGACATAGATTCTTTGTTATTTTTTTCAATTGTCCAATTTTCATTTAGGTCGATTTTTTTTTTGTTTTTTTTATACCAAATTCGGAAATAATTGGCTTCTGCTAAGAAAAAAAATGGCCCGCAAGTTGACAAAAAGTTATTCGTCCTTTTGTGGGTGCACCGCGGTGGCCGCTCGCGCTCCGAACCGTGTACGCTGTACGTGCTTGTGACGCGACTTCTTACGGTGGTCTGGAATGGTACCTACTTTTCTAATCAAAATTAATTTGTGACCGTAATAATTGACTTAGAGCTTGTTTTTTTGTATTAAATTCAGAAATAAATAGGCTTTATATTGGTATATACAAAAATAATTTTCGCTCATTATATTTTATTATGTTTTACAAAAAAATAAATTTTTCTGATTACACATTTTAAAAAATTATTCTGCCCTTATAAATAAATGTAAAGCCTTGTGGTTTTTTGGTTTGTTTTATTAAGAAATTGATTGGCTTTGCTGTGTGGAAGTCAAAAATATTTTATGTCCATAGTATTTTTATAGGTGTAGCGCCAAACTAAAGAAATAAAGTTTTAAAGTACACTTTTTGGTAAAATAAAAATTTTGCCTGTATTAATAATCTCAGAGTCTTGTTTTGGTTGTTGATTTATTAAGAAATAAATGGGGTTTATTGTGATAAAAACAAAAACATTTTATGTGCATTATATTTTGTTTTAAATGGCGCCAAACTTAAATATTAACATTTTTTTATAACCAACACTTTGTGGTAAAATAAAAATTCTGCTTTTTTCGTGATGTAAACAAAAATCTGTACCTACCTACTAATAAACGTATTTGTGTTCTTTTTTCTATATGGAGCTCGGTCATACATTACAAAAGTTTAAATTATAAAATATTTTTATTTTGTTTATATAATATATTATAAGTAACAGCGCCTAAACGGCAAAGAAAATTTTGTTTTAATCTAAAATCTAGACAGGAAAAGTGACAGTATTGCCTGCCTGGACAGCAGGAAAAGTGACACTTTCTCGATTTTAAAAAGACAGTATATCAATATTACATCCATGATTTAACCATGATTAACCATGATGGTTAAAAATAAAAAAAATAGTACGAAAATAATAATTTAATTTGACTTCTGAATAATATTTTACATTTCAATTTTGTACAAATTGCTTTCTTCGATAGATGAAATAATCTTACAAATAACATGTTTCGGTTTTGCGGCTGGTTGAAATGAATGATAATTTCTTGTATTTTGAATCGGGGTGGCTTTTGAGAAACGAGATTTTAATTTTTTTTGCTCGGTTTCGTATTCGGTTGTAGTGCAGAAATTAAACGAAACTTTTTTAAGAAAATTCTTAGCCCATCTCTGTAAACTTGCTCGATAAGCATTTCTTTTTTATTATTAGATATTACTTATTTTGTGTGGCCGAACTAAATATAGAATAAATTAAATATTTCGATTTAGTCACTTTAAGAAAATTATTAAAATATAACTTTAGTTTTTAAAAGAAAGTTACAAACTAAATCAAGGAGTAGAAAATTTGACAGATAATCCACGTGAGTACCAAGAAGTACCAAGTGAGTACCAAGAAAAATGTAATTTTTAGTTTGGCGCCTTATAAAACAAAATATAATGAATGCAAAATATTTTTGTTTATATCAGTATAAAGCTTATTTATTTCTAAATAAAATACAAGGCTCCAAGTCAATTATTAAGGTCACAAATTAATTTTAATTAGAAAAGTACCATTCCAGACCACCGAAAGACGTCCCGTCGCAAGCGCGTACAGCATACACGGTTCGTAGCGTGAGCTGAGACCGCGCGCGGCCACAAAAGGACGAATAACTTTTTGTCAACCTGCGGGCCATTTTTTTTCTCAGCAGCATAATTTCGAAAAATGATTTTGGAGTATATGTGTTTCTTTTTCCAGTCGATAGCTGGCGCAGAAGCCAATTATTTCCCAATTTGTTATAAAAAAAACAAAAAAAAATCTACCTAAATGAAAATTGTACAATTGAAAAAAATAACAAAGAATCTATGTCAAAACAAGATTCCAACGCTAGTTATATCTTTGGAATCGGATAATTAGTTTAGCCATAATGATTTTTTTTATTTTTTAATTACTAAAATCTTTTACTTTTAATATCATGAATATGTCAATTGAAAAATTTTTTTTTTACAAAATCCTTTAGGATTTGTGTTAGTGATGTAAAATACTATCGAAAAATGTATCTACAATCAAAAACTAATTTTGACCTAATTCAGGTGGCCCGTTTGAGAAATTCTGACCCTATTGTAAATAAAAAATAATACATCCGGTGACATGATTTTTTAAATTATTTATAAACGAAAAGTAACAAAAAAATAATTTAAAAAAAATAAGGTTCTTCACTGTACCTACTTATAAATTATAAGTA